GGTGCCCCTGCTTCACCAGGGCGGTTGGCCTGGGTGACCCACAGAGGTCCCTCCCAACCCCGACCATCCTGTGATTCTGTGAGAGTGCTGTCGATCCAGGCGCATGCCTAGCAAGAGGCATGCCGTTTATATGTGTAACACTGGAGCCATGGCTCTAGGAAAACGCAGCGTCGGTGACAGGAGACGACGGCTGTAAGCCCTGCTCGTGCTCTCCAGATGCTGGCACGGCTGGGAGTGCCGAAGAAGTTAATCCCCGAGCGTCAGGGCGGTTCGGCAGGAACGCGGGAGCGGAGGGCAGCTCGGCGCAGCAGAGGCCATTTCCTCCCCCGAGCTCTGCCGTCAGCTTGATTTGTGCTTTCCGGCGGGAGAACAAATTCTTTGAAGTTTTTGGCCTCTGCTGGAAGGACTTTTTAAGGATGCTAAAAGGGAAAATCTGCTGTGTTGCAAAGGACTTCTTAGGTCAGCAGCCGCCGCGTGCGAGCCAAAAGGCAGCGCCGCCCTGTTTGTTGCTTTTAATCTTGCTGTCCACATCAGTGAGAAGTTTGCGGCTCCGCCGCTGGGTTTTTAAAGCAGTTCTCCCCATTAAGTGACATTTATCTTCCAGTAAGAAGGAAAGAGTTAAATCTGGATGAGTTTACCCTGGGCTGGAGGAAATACCTAAATTTGGAGATTGCTGGGAAGGAAGAGAATTTTCCCAATTGCCGAGCAGGGGACTGTAAAGGCTAACTAAGGATTAGAAGTATGAGAGCTGCTGGAATACCAGATGTACTAAATTAAGCATAAACCAGAAGAGCAGCGTTCCCAGTGTTGCTACAGAAGTATTTATCTTCCTTCCGTGGAAACAGAAAAGTCCTTCTGGACCACGGTGAAGCAGCTGGAAATGGTCTTTGCTGCATTTCTGATACATTAGAAATTCCGTTTTAAACTGCCATCTTTCTAAAGGAATAGCAAACTGTTGTAAAAGGTCTCGAGTTACAGGCAAAAGGTGATAATTAAGAGATACTACCTGAAGGAGACTGAAACCATGCCATAACCTATGTCTCTTTGTTTATTCCCCAACTGTTACTATTAATACGGATCTGAAAACGACATCTTTTTGAGTGATGCTCGGAGCCAACAGGCAGAGACTCTGCTCCTCCCGTGGTTTTTTCCACCCTTAACTGAAACGTGTCTCATTCTCTCTCCTAGGTTTCTGGTCCAGTTCAGGCAAGACAAAGTGTGCGTGAAGTTCATACAAGGCAGCCAGAAAAACGGCAACATCCCAACCTGCAAGCGAAAAAACAATCGGCTGCTGGAGGTGGCCGTCCCGTAACCGCGGCGGGCGGCTCTGCCTTCCACGGACTTCGTTCTTTGTAACAGTGCAATCTGAGTTGCGTGGTTTTGCTGGTTTTTATCCCTTTCTGGAGCTGTTGATGGCTAACAGCTTCAGAAACCCTTGGCAAAACATTCGATCGATCGACCTTTTAATCTTTTTGGTCCTGCCGGAGTTTTAACCCTCGAAATGCAGAGTTTCCCCCCAGCGAGGCGTTTCTACCTCAGCGGGCACGTATCGTGCGTGTAGGATTCGTTCCCTTTCTTTAGCGGCCGTATTTTAGTGCCGCGTACCATAAACCCGCATATTAACGATCAATTACTCATACCCCTTAGCGTAGAGATCCGCTTCACAGGAACTATCCACGGCCTCGACGCTCGCTGGCCGCTCGTGCCCCGTGGCTTTTCACACCGACCTGTTCCCGGCGTTCTGCCGGCTCACCGACGCACCGGCTCCTCCGGTCACCACAGCCAGGACCTGCGTCGCTCGGCCCCGCAGGCAGCACGGCACAGGAGCATCCAGTTCTGCAAAACAGAAGCAATATGCGATCGTACGAGCAGCTACGTGCCTAACTTTGCAGTAAAAAATGCAGGCATTTTGAAACGGGATTTTTGATTAGGTCAGATGTTTTTAATGCCTTTATACAGTAGGAATGATTAAAATTTTAAAAGCTTGTTTCTTTGACAAAATCTATACGGTTCAAGGCATATTTTCTGTTCTGCTTTTTCTCTTTTAAATTATCAGTTAAGATGAGAGCCTGAAAAATGCAACAGTATTCATACCACAAGTAAACGCGAGGTATTTAAACAGTTAGTTACCCAGCGAAAGGTTTGAGCCTTTCTTTTAGATATTGGCATGTACAATGTGCAATAAAACATACACGGCATTTTGTGAAAAATTATTTATAATACATTTTTGTGTGGAAGAGAGAGGATTGGTGCAGACTGCGTAGACAGTGTAGGGGTTAAAATAGAACTGTGTTGTTAATCTGCAGTTTTTTAGAGTGTACACTACAGTTGTCGATTTGGGAAAAATACTAAGAATTAAAAAAAATCCTTAGTTTGGGGGTCTGTATATAAATTGGTAATAAAACTGTTGTAATTCTGTGCTGTTTGGTGGTCCTACGTTATAACCATATTTTTGTACTGCAGACTACTTGATATAACTTGCGTGCCTGATGCAAATGCGCGCGCAGAGAACGCAATCGAGAGCCGCGTTATAAAGTTGCGGTGTAGCTGACGGCGCTTACGCTCTGACGAGCCAGAAGCGTCAGCTGAAATCCTGGAGAGGAGAGCTGCCTTTCTAGCCAGAAGTAACCGCTCGGGTGAAGGGTCTGTGGGATGTGACGGACTGGTTTGTTGGTGCCAGGACAGCCGAGTGAGCGTTTGTGTGTTTGCAGTCTGGTGCAGGGCAGGGTAAGGCCCTGGGTGGCTGACGTGCAGTGCTGGAGGTCCAAGCATAAATAAAGGAAAGGTAAAGACAAGTTCAGAGTCTCGTTACTCTCCCGGTGGTACAGTGACGGAGCGCTGGTGGCTGCGAAGGCTCCTCTGGTAGTTCGACGCTGGCGTTGGCATTTACTGCGATAGACGTTCTAGTGCTAATGGTTATCGGTCTGAAAAACGGCCGGTTTGGGTTAGACGCCGCATTTTACTTTTGGGTTAAAGTAAACGATTTTGCTGTGATTTGGATACGAAACATTTGCTTTCGCTGGTTGCTTTCATGTTGCTGTTAACCGTCCACGTGCACGACCTTGAGAGGTGGGAGTCATCAAAAGAGGGGACAAAAGCTGCCTCTTCCTTACGATCTGAGTTTGAACCCTTCTGGCAACAACTGTGTCAGGCTAATAAGATTTAAATGATTTTACATGTCTTTTAATTAGAGATGCTTACGAGGGAAATCGTAGGGTCGATTTGTAATGCAGAATTAGGATACTTCGAAGCAATTAGTCCATTGGCTTAAGAAGACAGCCCGTAGGAACGTGGTATTTAAAACTCCAAAGTCCTCTATTGGTAGAGATCGGAGGGTTTGTAAAGCTGCTCAGGATCGCGAAAGCCTTACGGGAAGAACCACAAGGAGCAAATAAAATGAATACAAAAGTAAGGAGAACAAGCATTTGAAGCCTGATGTAATCCCGTAGCTGCTGGCAGGTAGGAAATGGGCGAGTTTAGATGAGGGGCATCTGGATAGTTGGCCTGCGAAATTAGGGTGTTGCAGGATAATATCAGGAGATTTGACCCACCCCCTGCAGACCCAGCCCACACCTCTCTCATTTTTTTGATCTTTGCAGCAAGTCGTGACAGCTACGCTAGCGTAAGAGTGGCAGAGGGGAATTTTGCCCCTCGTTTTGATTTCTGTGGTTTCATTTCTTTTTCCGGACCTTTACAGTTTTTGCCTGGCCCATTAGCTGGTACTTTGTGATAGTTACCACTTGACCCTCACATCTTTCTTCATGGACAGAGCAAGTTTGGCCGAACATGGATTATTTAGACGTGCTAGACGAGTGACGGCATCTTGATGTTGAGAGTGAAGTATCTAGGATGTTGAAAATAAAAATGCAGGGTTAGCTAGTTTCCTTTTTGTCTGTTTTCTTCTATAACCTTCTATCGAATGGAGTTGTAAAGAGAAGACCGGTCTTCCTATGGTGCTAACCTTACGCATGCTTGTACTTGTAAATTTTAATTTGTCATCTGAAAGCCGGGCAAGGATCGTTAAAAAAAAATGAGATTTGTTGCATGATACTTTCCAGAATCAAATAAAATTCTGTTCCTAGACCTATGCTTTCTCTCTATCTGTATCTTCCTTACTGCCACCAAATCTAAAAAGAGCAGGTGACGGAGTTTTAGGTTAAATGTACGCAACACCGGCGCGTGACTTGGAGAAACTTGTATGTGATGCCTCAAGAGGCAGCGTATCTTCCTCAGTGCCGCACCGGGACCTTTTGCTTTCCCTGACACCGTTTGCTCTGAATGTGCTGCAGACTCAGCTTTCCTAACGTTAGGATTTGGACCAACTCCCTAAGAACACTATTAACGGCCAGATTAACCTGATTTTTAGGAAATGGCTTTGAGGCCCAAACCTGTCATATTCCACACGTTTTGTCTTGTGATCTTTTTCTCTCTTTTTATCTTTAACAATTTTATCCTGATTTAGGTATATTTTTGTTCATCATGGAAGACAGAAATTAAAATAGAAAAAGCGTCTTCAGTTTTAATCCAGGTTTGTTTTCATTGCCAAAATGAGAGCCTTTTCCTAAACAGTTCTGGGAAAAAAAAATCGCAGAATTAAATTCAAGATTTTGATTTGAAATAATTCTTCCCCAGCTGGTGTAAATTTCACTGTTAATTCTTAAGCTTTTTAGATCCTTCACCTCGAAGAACAGCCCATTTCCCGTATTCCGCAGGAAACGGCGGTGGCTGTGTTTAAAGACCGGGCTGCGGTGTGGTGGTGGTGGGCAGGAGGGAGACGCGCGTGTCCATGCTGCTTTGGGCGTGAGACCTTCCCAACAAACACGTGCTGCAAAGACGGGGCGGCAAGCGTTTTGTGGGGATGCTGCCACCACCGACCAGCGTGAATTTTAAGTAATATCGAGCACCACTAGCACATGAGTTCTGCCTTTGCTCCAATCTGGAAGAACTTCTTCCCTCTGAGGGTGACGGAGCCCTGGCACAGGCTGCCCAGGGAGGCTGTGGAGTCTCCTTCTCTGGAGATATTCAAGACCCGCCTGGACGTGGTCCAGTGCAGCCTGCTCTGGGTGACCCTGCTTTGGCAGGGGGTTGGCCCAGATGACCCACAGAGGTCCCTTCCAACACCGACCATTCTGTGATTCTGTGATCTAGCTCCTGTCCTTACTGGAGTATGCTGTAGGTTACATCTGACTGTCGGGGAGGTGGGAACAACTCTTTACCAGTGTGTGCAGAACCCCTCAGAGTGATTAAAATTCTCTGGGTACTGCTTTCCATCATCTAGTTTAAAATAACAGCCTTGGTGTGTCAGTCCCAGTTACAGCGAGCCTTTCCGTCTCACGACCGACTGGAGCGTTCCCTCCTAGAGATGTAGCTAAAGGGAGGTTCAGTATATTAAAAAAACCCCTCCTCGCCAGAGCTTGTTGGCAGGGCAGCACTTGCTCCTGCTTTTTTTTAAAATCCACGTCCGTTCTCACAGCAGCACTCGCCTGTTCGGCGACGCTGAATCTCTCCGCTCTGCCGCACCTGTAGAAGTCTCTAGAGGATGGAGGGTTGTGGTAGATTCACAGCTGCTGTTAATTCTTGTAAAAATGTATTTGCGTAGGTTGGGGCGGGTTTGCATGGGCCAGTCTCTGCGTTCAGAGAGGACAAAAGGAATTTGTTGGGTTTAAGGCACCCCATCGCCGTTTCACGTCTGGGTGTATTTGCCTGCAGTGAACTAGTGCTACGTAAAGGACTGAGGCTGTGGGAGGAATATCAACTTCGTCTAGTTATCGGCTAGGACGAGTTCTGCTCCTGTTCCTTTGCCCGCAAGGATGAGTTGGGTCTTCGGGCTTCAACTGAAAATGAGCGTTAGGACAGCGTGAGGCCATTGCAGTTAACTTGGGTTACGATCAGCTGATGAAACGGAGTCCTAAAAGATTCTGAGGAACAGATTCACTCTCTCCTTCACCCTAAACTTTACAGACATTGACATCTGATTGTGGACCGGCTAGGCAAAACTGAAGTATGAAACGCAAAACGCATGAATGAAAAGAAAATCAGAAGAATCCGAGTATCTCTTCTTAAGAACACAACTGATTCCCCAGGCTGCACCCTGCGCTCAGCCCAAGGTAAGGGTCTCTTTGCTGTATAACGTTCTACTCTTTATGGTCTTTAATTGTTAAAGATAAAAAATAATATTCCTCTGGCCAGGGAATCTTCTTACCTGGGGACATGGCCAAGTGCTGGGGGGCTGCAGGGGTCCTTGCCCAGTGCCCCGGGCTCCCCTGCCCAGTCTCGCCTTCACGCTTGGAAACATCGAATGCCTTGTAGGCTGCTCTCCCAAGGGGAGATGCTTTTTCCCTTTCAAGTTAACTTGTTAGCTGTATCGGCGTCGACAGGGCTTCCCAGAACTCCGACAAAAAGCAAAACTGAAGCCTGACACCTGAAAAGCTGCTGTTGCGACGCGCTCGGTCTCTTCCTGTTAGAAATCCACTCGGAGCGGTGCTGTGATGAAGTCCCCGCCGGCCTGACCCATGGCACGCAGCCTCCGAGGTTGCTGGACGGGCTGCTTGTAGCCTGAAATCCATCAGAATGTGGAATAGGTAGTTTCCAGCTGGTGCCCAAAGGAGGGAGCTCGTTTATATTAAGATGCAAAGGAGCATTAAATAGCTGCAAAAACACTTTTACTTGCCTGTATACTGCTGTATCTAGGGAAGAGGGACCTTGGC